CAAATTATGAAAATTCAAGGCAAGTAAAAAAATGTGAAGAACAAGAACTTTAACTAAGAAAATAAGAATGTGTCAGCTGTTACAATTTCATTTAATTTATAATTGATGGTTGATTATTACCTAATGATTACAAATTATTAAATATATTTTTTTTGCAATTTACAATCTGTTTTAAATTAAACGATAAGTAAATATGATGACATTTATATAAATTAAATTAAAATTGGGGGAAAAATTATTAAAATGTATTATCTATCTCTTCTAATATATATAATTCTCGTGTCACAGTGTTTGTCTGCAAACTCCTCCGGAACGACTTCACCGATCGTTATGAAATTTGGTGTGTAAATTCTGTAGGTATGCGAATCGGACGTAAACTATTTCCCGTTTCAAAATTCTTAAAAGGGCTCCGCCCCAGTGGCTCTGGAGTTTCCCATGTTAACCTTATGAGAAATGGAATTAATGAATCTTAACAGCTGTTTCAATTAAACAAGTTGGTTCTGTTCTATGATGTTCAATAGCATTAAAGTTACAAGGATTACCAACAGGGTGCAGCACTATCATTTCTTTTACATTTATGACAACAGCTAATTTGCAACCAAAAGGTGAGTGAGCGTAGCGAACGAACTTCAACCTGGAGGCGAGTTAGCGTAGCGAACGAGCTAACCTGAAGGCAAGTGAGCGCAGCGAACGAGCTCCAACCTAAAGGTGAGTGAGCGTAGCGAACGAGCTCCAACCCAAAGGTGAGTGAGCGTAGCGAACGAACTTCAACCAGGACGTGATTGAGCGATGCGAACGAGATCATCTTGAAAATTAAACGTAACGGTACTTTCTTTCCATCGGTCTGTCTTAGGGGAAACCTATAACTTAGGCGATACGACTCAGCTAGTACTAATATATAAAAATGAGATGGTGTGTGTTTGTGTGTCTGTCTACTACTCAATAACGCAAAAACTACTGAACCGACTGGGCTCAAATTGCACACACATGAAGCTACAGTTCCGAGGATACATATAGAACTATTCCCGCTTCGATATTGTCCTAGGGCTCTGCCCAGTGGGCTTTCAAAAATTTGAGGTGAGAGATTTAAAAGTAAATATTGATTGATGGTATATCCATGGTAACAAAGAACAAACCTAGAAAGTTTAAAAATATAAACAAGCAGAACTAACTGTCAAATGAGTTTTGATTTCACAATTCCACTCCACACAGCTGGTTCAAACATATTAAATACTGCACGAATATTAAAACAGAGAGGGTAAGGATTATAAATTTAAAATAATGATGTCACTAGCCCGAATGTAAACATTATTTAACATTACTCAAATGGAGCTGTCAAACAATATGTTAATATAATTTCATCAGTTACACCATTGGTTTATGTTTATGATCTATTATACTGAGTCTGTCCATGTCGTTCTAAATTATAGCTAACAGGTAGGCCTATTCTCAGCTGTGAACATTTTAAAACTAGTAACATACCTCGTGTTAAAATTCCTGGTCTTCAAAATAAATTTTTCTTAAAATGTAACAATTTAACACATATATTGATACACACACAAATAATATTTACATTTATTTACAACATATTTTCTTCATCTTGGAAACTGTAACAACAAAATGAACACAAAAATTTGGCTATTTTAAATGAGAAATATCTTATTGTGAATTTTCTATAGGCCTACTTGTTTATTTTGTTTGTTTGTCAGTGTCACAAGTTACTCAGCATGGGTCTACGTTTATGTTTGTAGGTACCAGTATCTCTGTGAAAATATCTGGTATGTCAGTGTGTGTGTTCAAGTTCAAAAACTTTTATTTCAGTAAAGGATTTCACTAGCATACCACTGGGCCGAGTGAATACAAGTACAGCAAGTATTTACTTGTGAGTAAATACTTGCGAGTATTCGTCGTTCAAGTAATCTCTTGTGAATAAAAGCGACTCTTTACTTGCAAGTAAATACTTCCTAAATGAGATGGTATACTCACTGATCTATCGGAGATGAGGGTATACTTGCAAGTATGTACTCCATTTTAAAGTAAACATTATACAGTACAAGTATATATATATATATATTAAATAAATAAATATAGATAAATAAATATATATTGTTGAAGGTCTAAGGCCTTCATTTAAACATGTAAAATGTGAAGGTTTTGCATTATTGAGACTTGTGGATGGATTTTCATTAACAAAATAGCTTGAACATAACGAAGGAATACCACAAAGGTTCCATCTTCAATTACCCAAGCATTATTTTGCGGAAATTACTAGAGTCACACATAATTTAAATAAGTGTATTACACTATACTGAATGTGTTACATGCATTTATCAACAAGTAAATTTAAACAAGCATGGGTTATTGATAACTAGTTGAAAAACAAGTATTTAATCTTTAGGCAAGTATTTGCTGGTGGTTATTCACAACAAATTTATAGGTTTATGAGGGTATATACTTCCTTGGAAAGGCTTTTTTAGAAGTAAAAGTAAATACTCATGCTTATTCACTTCTGTTCAAGTAAATACTCAAATTATGAAAATTCAAGGCAAGTAAAAAAATGTGAAGAACAAGAACTTTAACTTAGAAAATAAGAATGTGTCAGCTGTTACAATTTCATTTAATTTATAATTGATGGTTGATTATTACCTAATGATTACAAATTATTAAATATATTTTTTTTGCAATTTACAATCTGTTTTAAATTAAACGATAAGTAAATATGATGACATTTATATAAATTAAATTAAAATTGGGGGAAAAATTATTAAAATGTATTATCTATCTCTTCTAATATATATAATTCTCGTGTCACAGTGTTTGTCTGCAAACTCCTCCGGAACGACTTCACCGATCGTTATGAAATTTGGTGTGTAAATTCTGTAGGTATGCGAATCGGACGTAAACTATTTCCCGTTTCAAAATTCTTAAAAGGGCTCCGCCCCAGTGGCTCTGGAGTTTCCCATGTTAACCTTATGAGAAATGGAATTAATGAATCTTAACAGCTGTTTCAATTAAACAAGTTGGTTCTGTTCTATGATGTTCAATAGCATTAAGTTACAAGGATTACCAACAGGGTGCAGCACTATCATTTCTTTTACATTTATGACAACAGCTAATTTGCAACCAAAAGGTGAGTGAGCGTAGCGAACGAACTTCAACCTGGAGGCGAGTTAGCGTAGCGAACGAGCTAACCTGAAGGCAAGTGAGCGCAGCGAACGAGCTCCAACCTAAAGGTGAGTGAGCGTAGCGAACGAGCTCCAACCCAAAGGTGAGTGAGCGTAGCGAACGAACTTCAACCAGGACGTGATTGAGCGATGCGAACGAGATCATCTTGAAAATTAAACGTAACGGTACTTTCTTTCCATCGGTCTGTCTTAGGGGAAACCTATAACTTAGGCGATACGACTCAGCTAGTACTAATATATAAAAATGAGATGGTGTGTGTTTGTGTGTCTGTCTACTACTCAATAACGCAAAAACTACTGAACCGACTGGGCTCAAATTGCACACACATGAAGCTACAGTTCCGAGGATACATATAGAACTATTCCCGCTTCGATATTGTCCTAGGGCTCTGCCCAGTGGGCTTTCAAAAATTTGAGGTGAGAGATTTAAAAGTAAATATTGATTGATGGTATATCCATGGTAACAAAGAACAAACCTAGAAAGTTTAAAAAATATAAACAAGCAGAACTAACTGTCAAATGAGTTTTGATTTCACAATTCCACTCCACACAGCTGGTTCAAACATATTAAATACTGCACGAATATTAAAACAGAGAGGGGTAAGGATTATAAATTTAAAATAATGATGTCACTAGCCCGAATGTAAACATTATTTAACATTACTCAAATGGAGCTGTCAAACAATATGTTAATATAATTTCATCAGTTACACCATTGGTTTATGTTTATGATCTATTATACTGAGTCTGTTCTAATATTTGTGAAATGCTGTAATAATATTTTACAGGCAATGAATTCGTTGTAAAAGAAATCATTCATGGATATAGGAAATAATTAAGATTCTATAATCATTGCCAAGCCATTATCCTGAGTTTTATGAGGTTTATTTTTATTTTTGTGTAAACAGCAATATAATCCCCCTTCCGCAGCAAATTTATAGACTTAGTGAATTACCATTTACCTGATTATAATTTCGATAAAATATGTTAAAAAAATTACCCTATTCTTCATATTTATTTCAATTTTCCTATTTGTTTCTATTTTTTGGTTTGTAACTGTTGTGATAGTTTTTTTGTTTACAGTGCAAACGTTACAGTGCAAACCATTTAACACGTTCTTTTATTGTACCTTAAAATCTATCATTGGTTTTTGTATCGTAGGTAGCCTAAATAAGTACTCACAGTATGAGTACTTATTTTTTACTTATACTTATACTTTTCCCCCTCAATGAATTCGTGTATTTCACGAAGGTGTCGAGACAAAACCCACCGATTAACAAAACTCTTATCACAAAACTGAGCACTGGCATACATGCATTGTTGACAAGACAAGCCAAAACGATTGAGTACACCACGCGACCACGCGACAGACAGCATTGAATTTGACGTTTAAGTTCGGCACTGCTCGGTAAGATTCGGAAGCGTTCGGCACAGCGCAGTAGTGGGGGAAGCGTTGTTCCGATTTCAAATTCCGCTGTCCCGTTTCTAGACAGACGAAAAAAAGGGCGGTGACGGTCTGCTGACGGCAAGGTCTCCTCTCCTGTGCTGAGTCGGTGCGGTGACGGTCATTGATAAACAAATGTAAACAACCTAAAATCGAACCATCATTATTTTAAAGAATAATAATCAATGGAAAATATCTCAGGGTGTGTTTTAGTTTGTACTTTGATTGTATATTTACCCATTTTTATTTACGGAATTTAGGTTATTTTAAGTCCAATGTAGCCTAGCTCGAAAAAGCATAAGTTACATTTGATACAACAGTAAGTTCATAACCTAACTTTGACTTGCAGCTCCCGGTACAGTAGTAATGCCTTGTAAACCTAACCTAAAACCTTGGGTAAACCTACCTAGCTTTTACGTAGGTCCTCTTCATAGTCGTTGAGACCAGGGAATTAGTGATGCGCGATTGTGAGATGTTTGAACGATCAAAATGTTCCTTCTCGAGATGTTCTGCTTATCGATTGTTTCGATTGCTTAGCGAGAGGTTTGCATTTGTTAAGCCTAAATGTCTGTTCACCGCATCACTGTCTACATTTCATGAGAGTTGTGACAAGGATGTTTGTTCTTTTTCTAGATTCCTATAGAATCGTAGACTATTATGCAAAACATATAATTGCTGATAAGTTATATAACACGATTTTGTTTGTAAAATATATCGTCTTGTCAATAGTTTTATTGAGTGGTATTAAGTCACTATTCCGTAGATAAAGTAAGTAGGCTAATATATCCATGAACCTTCCTTGGTTTTGAAGTAAGATATACCTCCTATTGGGGGTCATTCCCCGGCAGATACAATGGAAATAAGATTAAATTAATTGATGATGCCGTACTAAAATGAAACAATCGTCACGAACATCTCGTTAAAACCTCTCGCCTCTCGGTTCTCTAGAAGAATGCGGAGCAGACGGAATGCAAGATACGAGAGAAGAGAAGCCGTGCTGAAACGAAACAATCGTCACAAACATCTCGATAAAACCTCTAGGTAAGAACCTCTCGCTAAGCAAAAATACAATCAAAACGTTTTGATTGTAACATCTCGCAATCGTGCATCACTACAGGGAATCGTCAAAATTTTTCTTTCTTCTTTGGGTTCATTCCGATAAACCGACACACAGGAATAACTTATTCATGATAGATCGTTATCATAAAGAAATGGCCCTTAAAACAACCCTTGGACTTTTGCTTGACCAGTGTTTTTAATCCAGGAGGCGGATAAGTTTTAGGCCCTAGGTCTCACCAATAGCTGAGCTTTAAGATTATGGCATTGGGAAACAGCTCTATGTATTAAGTTCCATGATCTTGATCAGGGCTAGGCTAGTTAACTTAGTATCTGATTAAAAGTGTGGGAGTGGCCCACTTACTTAGGCAGACGTCTCAGACATGTTAAGCAGTGGAGGTGAAGACACAATTACAAAACCGTCTACATGGAATCACTATGCAGTGCTTTGTTCGAAACTTATGAAACGGCTGTCTACTATAGTACGGTATTATAAAGCAAAGCGTGTGTCAATTGATTTTTTATCTTATCTTATCTAACAGGGGTGTGCCAGTCGCTGGTCTAAGTGGTTTGGTGAGCAGATACAGAGACAGCTGGGTTAATTTTGCCAACAGCCTTAAGCTTTAAACACAAAATTTGATCCCAAAAGGAAACAAAACTTTTAATTACTAGGTACAATGACACAATATTTGAATTTAAGTTAATTTCCAATTTCATTCTCATCCCGGGCGATTGATGATTAGAGCAATTACTAATACTAGGCCTACTATTTGGCCAGGAATAATTTTATTTATTTATTTTTTCAGTCTAAATCCCGGACATTTTTAGGTTTTCCAAAAATCCCCCGGACGTTTTTTATGTTGGTACCCAAAAAGAGGACGTGTCCGGGGAAATGAGGACGTCTGGGATCCCTACCAATGACTGACAAGCGAGGCATGTTCAGTGAACTAACTTAATCAACGCTGAAGTAGGTAGCTAAGCTATAAAATTAATCTCTGACAACGACTGTAGGAATGAAGCCAGGTTATGTTTATCACGTAAATTAAGATTAAAGTACAAACAAAGCCCTAATTCTGATAATCTAACGAGGTCGCATAAGCAAGAAAAAAATAATCTCAAAAATATCAAAAACAAATTGTCTTGGAACATGATGCTATGCTTTGCAAAGCCGATAAAGGAATTACCATGGTTACAATGTACAAATACCCACCCCGAAGCAAACCTGCAGACTTAGCAAATGTCCATTTGCCTGATTGGATTTACACTAAAAAATGTCTCCTTAAAAATATCACATTTATTACCTATAGAAATAGTTTAACGAGTACTTAGGTTTGCTGCCACAGGGAGGGTAAACAAGTATTTTTTGTTATAAAATGTTAATAGTTTAGTAAGAAATGAATGTATTTTCCAAATTTGATCAAAATATCTCTATATATTTAATACACAGTTGTAACACTGTTTTCTCAGTAATTACTGGACCGATCTACAAGATTTATGTCTCAAATTAAAGGGGATAGTGTGTAGATTTGCCGAACTTCGTTAGAATTCACGTTTTAAGGGCTACGACCTACAGCCTTTTAAAGGTCGAGTCAATACAATTCTTATTGAAGAATATAATACGCAGTTTATAAATTATTCATCAGCTGTTTAATGATTGTCAGACATTTGTTATTATTTTTATAACCTCACTTTAAGTATGCAATTATTAAACTGGAGTTTCTGTTTATAAACACACGATTTTGATCAAGGAAAGTGTATTTGTTAACTTATTTATGAAATGTTTTAGTTTTCCTGCAAAGTGATCTGAAGGAAAGTAGTAATTGAGTTTAAGTTTGAGTATGGAGTGTGAAATAATACCCATAGTAGGGAACGGAAACTTATTGTTTTGATCAATATAATTTATTCTCTACGGCCACCAGAATAATCATGGGGAAATCCGCTTGCAAGTTGTACATATAATTGCTAATGAGTGGGAAACATACAAACATTTTGTAGTAGGTGACGAATCTTACTCAAGATCAGTGTTAGATGTTCAGTGGTACCAAACTTTACCTTCTCAAGATGGCGAGTACGCTGGGATACGTGGAACTAAATATGTTCATAAACAAGCAAACTACAACTGTTGACTTATTCTCCATAGGAATAACATAAGAATTTTAGATTTAAATTTTTTTTGGATTTTCGCTGTAACCATTAGGCGCATAAGAACGCTTCAATATATACTAAATTATTTGTTTTTTTAAGCTCTACAAAATGGTTTGGAAAGCAATGGGATAAACCTATTTTTATCCCATAAAACCCCCCATAAACCCCCGTTCCCATAGTCCGATCATGCTGGTTCGCAAACTCGTTCAAATAAATCTAGGTGTACACTTTTATACCAAATTTCATCAAAATCAGATCATTTTTGCTCTAGTTATCGTGCTAACGGACACATATTATATAGCCTAGCCTTTATATATGAATTTGAATGGATGGTGTTTTTGGCCTCTAGGGACCTCAAAACGAAAAAGTAAATCGGTCCTGGGTCCAGGTCTTACCATGAGTACTACGGTAATAGCTTATTCCCTATATGGGAAATTCGGAAATAGGATTATATCGCTAAAGTTGATGAGTTTATTACTGCCAATGAAGTTTACAAACAGTTACAAAAAAAAAAATCAATACTTTAATCAATTCCAGCAAGGTATTATTCACTGAAAATGACATCCGCCATTTAGGCTACCTATTATGAACCCATCAGCACCAAAACTACGCGGCCTTCCTAAAGTACTCAAAACAGGTGTTCCCATCAGGCCACAGGCCGATTACACAAACACGCACTCCAAAAATACAAAAATATCACATTTTTGTAAAAAAACATGTTTTTGCCAGATTTTCACATTTTATTATTGAAAGTACGCGTTTATTGAAGGTAGACTATATAAGTAAATTAAGTTTAAATACTTTACATGTAAGCCCAATTAGTGTACAATAAAAAAATATCGACATTTATTTCAGAACAAATAGGAGCAAGGACAATATTTTATCGGTGACTTTTTCCACTGCAGTGGAAGGCCCCTGCTTGGAGTCCTCCAAACGCGGTTGGTTTTCTTCCTTGTACGATACTGTTATCTTGTTATCTACAGGGATATCTTGCTTTTCCTTGTGGTTGGTGCGCTGATAGCTGGGTAGTTATTAAAGTTATCGGTGGACAAATTAAAGACACCGATTTAGTTGTTCACTGGTTATGCTGAATTTAATATTTAAAACAACCTAGTACAAAGACAGAAACGATGTTACCAGTTTGGAATTAAAAATATATTTAATTGAATCGAGAAAAAAAATTACAAATAAGAAAATAGCGGACTGTATAAATGAACAAATTCAATTGAAAAAAACGGTCGGAGGACGCTTTACGCGTCCCTGTCGCATGAGTTTTGTAAAAACACTGATTGTTACACTTTAAGCATCCCCAAGCCCTGACGGGCCAAGGGAAGGGATTTTTAGAAGGTTACTTTAACAATATGGTGGAAGCTCAAACACCTTGTCTTCGTTCCCTAAATTGAAGATATGCATTTTAAATAGAAGTGAAAAAATCCATATATAAATCCCAAATAACATGAACTTTTGAAAAAAACTGAAAGTCACACCTCCCATAAACCATATACTTAAAACGTTCGTCATGAAGAGAAATCTTGTGCAAAACTATCCATTTTTTTCATAAACTGCCCTTTAAGGTCGTTTCCTTTCTAAAGGGGACTTTCCATATACTTATGTTAAAAATACCTAAGCTGTAGTACTATTTGTTTGTTATTCTTTCAATTGTTTACCTTATTAAAATTAGGTGTGATTATTTGTTTGTATTACTGTATTCTGTTTTGTTTATTCCAGCTTAACGTAATCAATCAATAGTTTTATTAATCATACTTATGAAGTAAAACGGGGTGAAGCCAATGGGTAACAGCTAGTATAAATGGTATACATTTTGGGATAATTGTTTCATAATGTAAAAGGAATGTTACTTGATGTAAGACACATATTAATGAACATTTAAGTATTCTAAATATCATTCAACATGAGAATTCCCATTTCAAGATTTTGATGGTGTTCGTGTGGTCCTTTTGAACTCGGGATTCTCTGCTGTCTACATGTGCTGCTCAGAGATTTTGAAGTGAACACCACAAAACCTTTCCAACTCTTCGGTAATGTGAACTATGGATGTGTGCATTTGTAATCATCCAAAGGATACATGATGTCAGAAATATTATACATTCTAAATCAACCCTCAATTTTAGCGAATTTCCCATAACTTATAGGGAACATAAGTTAAAATAAAATAACTTCAAATATGGTAATTTGAGCTATTACCATAGGTCTCATGGTAAGACCTAGACCCGGGACCGATTTACTTTTAGCTAATTTCCCTTATAGGGAATAAGCTATTACCGTAGTACTTATGGTAAGACCTGGACCCGGGACCGATTTAATTTTTCGTTTAGAGATCCCTAGAGACAAAAAATCCGTTCAAATTCATATAAATATATTTAAAAATGTGTCCGTTAGCGCGATAACTCAAGCAAAAATCATCCGATTTTGATGAAATTTGGTACAAACGTGTAAACCTACGTTTATTTGAACGAGTTCGCCAACCGGCATGATCGGACTATGGGAACAGGGTTTTATGGGGTAAAAATTGGTTTTTC